AGATTGGCTGATTTGTAGACAGATTTGAGAAGGTTGCTTGATTTTACTTGTAAGGGTTTTTTAAGTTTTTTCAATTTTGAACTAATGTGATTCAGTCAATATCTGTCTAGTCTGGGACTAGATGTTTTCATATGGCGTCCATGAGTTCATGTTACAAAGCTCTTATTAGTTCTGTGGTGACACTTTAGAATATGCTACTTGACAGGTAAGAGAAAAGAAAATAGAAATAGAGTACACCAGACAGAAATTCTTCTGAAGGAATGTGGAGAAACAACAATACTACACTGATATAGGCAATGCCTATTATTCATGACAACAGGTATGAATGGAAGGAAGAACAACGTGCATCTCAGTAGGTCATTAAGCATAAAAGTTATGATCCTATTTTGGAACTGACTGTACTCTTTCTGTAATATAAATCCTTGAAATTCATCATAATGTTTTTAAATAAGTGTACATTTGCTCCAAGTGAAATTGTAAATTAATGATTGGTTGCATCTGTACTAATGAGTAGGAAGTTGTGCCCAGTCTTGTTGGAAGTGATTTGACAAACAACTGTGAATGAACTTCCTCAGAATTTTGAATCAGATATTGGGAAACAGGATGAGAGAATATGTGTTCACACTTTGAGCAGGAGAATAACCACTGGCATGCATTTTTGTGGATGAGGTATTATAACAACCAGCAGTAGCAAAATATGCATGCAAGTTGCAGCATGGAAGTGTTTTTGACTGATGCCATTAAAGAATCAAACATAATATTTTAGTAAATATATATATAATTATTTATTAATATAAATTATTTAATATATTACAATAATTATTATTTCTAAGGATCCCCTGTGAAATTTACAATAAACCTTCAGAGTAAAAAGAAAAATAATCAGAAGACATTTATGAAACTTCTAAAATAGGAAGAGAAAAGAAATGATATTATTAATGCAGCAGATTCTTAGAATAGTGTGTGACTGAATAGAAATACTTCTATACAATGACTGCAATGTAAGAGACACCCACATCACTGTAGTGCAGTTTTCCCCCTCTCACATTGTCCTTGGTTGAGTTCAAATATTTTCTTTTTGTCATAATAATATCATCAATAATATGGGAGCTTTTTCTTTTTATTCATACACATTAGTCACCTCTTTCTTGCTGCTTATTAATGAAACATCATTTGTGTTTCACTGATTCTGCATGGTGATTGAAAGGAGGTTCTTTATATAATTACCAGTAAATAAACAAACAAACAAATAAATAAATATAACTGTATACCAAAGGCTGTTCCACATATTTATTCAAGACTCCAAATTATGAGAGAATTTACAAGGATCAGTACAGCACCCAATGGCTGTGCCGAGCTGACAGGGAAGAAGTGAGTCTCAATTTTAAAGGGAAGGGGAAGCAGGAAATGAGGGAAACACAAGCTCTGAACCGGTTTTTGGCATTGTTTTCCACTTACTACCCACTGACTTATTTACTCCACTGCATGTCTGCAAAGCATTGGGTATTGTTTGTACCCACAGTGGATATCACTGTAGTTTACTGCAAACTGTGTGAAGCATAGGAGAAGATTGCAATAGTCTTTTATCATATCCCAAATACATGTTGCTGTGCTACAAGATGACATTTTATTCATTAATTTTACAACAATGAAGATAAAACATATATTTGGAGGAACATGCATAAACATATATGTATGTATATAGACATATTTGGGGGACTAGTGACTTCGATTTTTTCAGCCATGAGAAAGTGTTGAAGTTTGAAAATATGTTTTTCTCATTTTGTCTTTGACATTTGTGGTTCTCTCTTTACAGCACTAGATTCAGTGTTTATATTTTGAATTTTCTACTCTTCTTAAATATTGCTGTTTAAATAATATATTCACCCACCAGATTAGTATATTTTTACCACACAAAACTTTTATTCAAAAGAGAAGCATTTTCCAAACTATGTTGCTGAATAAAAGCTGACATGTTGCCTCCAACATCAGGAAAAAAAGCCCCCCCTTTTTGTTTTTACTTTTTGTCCTAAGTCCGCTATGAATATCATTATGAATATCATGTATGACTTTTAGTATTGTTTTCATCATCCTTTATTTCTTAATGTATCTCTGTAACAACCTTTTCTCTTGTTTTACAATTTACCAAGACAACAGAAACCAATTGGGCCTTTTCTTAAGGGATTTCTTAATCAATCCATCTGATCTTTCTCATTTATGAAAGAGAGAGATACATTTCTTTACTCATGGGATGCTGTATTTCTTAATTATATTTGAAGTATTTTTAAATTCATCAATTGTCCATGCTGGGGAATAGTTAAGAATGTTAAACTTGATAAAAATTTTAGAGGGCTTTATCAATGATTATCTAGTGAAAACAAAAGATCTGTGTTACTTTGCTAAAATTTTGGGAACATATTTTGAGTACCCCAAAAAGAATAAATTTCTGTTTATATGAGGGCAGGTATGTAATAGTTATAATATTAGGCCTCATTTTATGTTAGCATTATTAGCCTGATGATTCTCTTTGAGAAATCCAGTGATGAGGATTGTTAAAAGCTTATTGTAACTAGTCCCTTACCAGAGAGGGAATTCAAATAGTCCAACTGATCAGCATAATAACTGAAAGAATAGAAATATATGAAGGTACTTTATGATTTGCTTTCTCTCTTTTTTACTGTGGATCATGGATTAATTAACCTCTGATCATGTTTGGTTCCTTCATTCAGTTCTCTCCAGCTAGCTGGCATCTTTGTAAGAGGAGCAAAGCAGATGCTAATGTAGAAGAAATTTCTCCTCTAGATAAAATCACAATATATATTTCAACTGGCTAATTATATTCAGTCTCACTGGCCAGTGAGTCAGTGAGATTGTTTCTGAACACATCCTTCTGTTTCTATGAGCATCTCAAGGATTCTTCAAATTATATGGTCCCTTTCACTATGAAAGAAGAATTTTTATAACACAGACAAAAGAAATAAATTAAGCCACATGATAGTGCTTCTGCAAGATATATTATTGCAAACAAAACTTTAATATAATGATAGGATTATCATATTAATGTGTTATGCTTTAAGTATTCAAAAATTTCTCTCACATTATTATAGTGATGACACAAAAGTATTGCAATAAAAATCTTAATTATAGTCTCTTAATTATAGTCCTTCTACTAATTGCTATAATATATTTTAAGAGCATTAGTCAGTTTAGGTTTTTTTCCTTTTTTTAATTCCTGAGACTACCAGCAAAACAGGAGAGAAAATAGAACTACACTCTGAAGTACTCTCTATTGGACCCTATTGTTTTCTGGATCTACTTTTTATTGTTTTGTTGCTACATCATTCAGAGATCACTAGAGGATCATCCATTTTATATAAATTCTTCAGAACATCTGCAGGATTTTGAAGTCAATTTTATTATCAGGAAATCCTTCCAGGAGAGAGAAACATAACTAATGGAAACATAACTTTTATTCTTGCTCTTTTCTTAATCTAAATTAGATACTTTCTGACGGAATGCTGAATATCTCTTGCTCTGAAAAAAAATTTGTTAAGAGCTGCGGGTTATCCTGTAGACTCTATGGCGTGCTGCAAGGGTGCTGTATTATGTGAGAAGGGGAATTTGCTGAGTCTTGAAGCCATGCTTGCAACTGATTTTATGCCTACATTTCTCTTCATAAAAGTCATTGCTTGTTCAACCCTTAAGCAAAGTTTTCAAGTTGAAAAAGGCAAACTGATGGAAACCAAGACATCACTAAAATATTCCAACTTTAAACATAAAGTCTTCTATGTTTATATCAGTTTTTTTGGGGTTGTTTTATATATTAATACCTTAATTTTTGGGGACCTTATTATATGATCCTTCATCTTGGAAGTAAAATGTCTTTTCTGTATCTCTGGACATCTTTAGACCTGCATAGAATAAAATGTACCAGGAAGACACCAGGATATACCAGATTGTTTTCTTTGGTAATATTTCCAGATGAATTTTCCAGGTTCATGTACTGTCACTAAAAATTATTAACATATATAATGATAGATTATTTGAAGTTACAGCTTATCATGAATATATCTGAAAATCCAGAACTGTTAAACTCAGCTGTCCAAGATTCAGATTCCTACTCTGTTAAAATTTCACCTGACTGATTAACAACTGCAGATATATTTACATAAAATTTTAAAGCATTTCATGACTGGATATTGCCATTTTTAAGGCAAAGAACAGTAGGGTCATAAAGCACTCATTCTATTAGAGGTAGCCAAGTCGTTGTCTGAGAGAAAAAGATGAATATGTTAGAATATGTAATTTTTATGTGAGAAGTGATGTTTGAGGAGGGATTTCGAAAAAAATGGATGAATGCCAGTGGCACTAGTTTGGAAATTATTTTGATTTTATTATTCTGATCTCTCTGCACCGAGATTATAAATTTATAAGTTACTGAGATTCATATATATTATATACAAAATCTCCAAAGAAATCCTGCCACATTAAAAAAACATGAAAATTAAAAAATGTAATTCCTGAAACAGAAGAATGTCTCTACTTGAATTCTATCTCTGTGCATTTGTGTATTACAAAGCAGCCTTAAATTTGCATGACCATTCACTAGTATAGTCACAATACTTTGTGATTCTTCCATCCTCTGGGTCAGACTGCTAATTTATACTCTTTATTTTCTGTCTATGCTGTCTGCTTCAGATTTTGCTCCATCTGCTTTACTTACCTGCCTCCATACTGTCCTCATCCTCTGATTAACTGATTGCTTTCACATCTCAAGTCACCATTGGTTGGTTCGATTCCCTTTTGTGTTTACTATTCTGATTTTAGAACGATCTGCAGAAGTATTGACCATTTACTCTACAAGTGTGTATGAGCAAATCAGCTCTTGAGGTGATGGTGGGTAAGGAGCTAATCTTATCTTATTGAGTGAACAAAAGCTAATTTTGTTCCTCTCTCTGTCTAAAATGTAAGCAGTAATTTTTTTCCTGTCTTATTAATAGATATTTCATCTCTGTGACCAGAGCCAGTCTGGGAAGCAGAAGAGACAACATGAAAGCACTGGAATTGGAACACCATTATCTGGAACTCTTTGGACCAAAAAGTCCCAATCCTGTGCTGAACTGATCCTTTACTGAGGAAAAGTCAGGAACCAGCATAGTCCTTTCCCTAAGCAGCAGGGCACTGTGTTCAGAAGAGAGCTTGCAAGAGTGATCTTTTATTGCCGACATCCACACGCTGTAGGTGCAGCTCTCTGCTGCCTGTCCTTGAGCAGTGTAGCTGCTCTCCAGCTGGTTAGCATTTATGCAGCAATCAGCAGGAAGAACTAAGTGGAGCTGCAGTGTTCCTGTGTAGCTCAGCAGAAAAATGTTGTGTGCTCTGCATTGCTTTGGACTGCTCTGATAAATTCTAATCGACAGGCTTCAGCAGCACAGCCATTGCACGAGTGCTCACCATTGCATGGGCTGGGGAAGGAATGAGCAGCATGGAGTGATAACAATGAACAGGCAAAAAGTATCCTGTGGAGGTGCAAAAGTGAGATTTTAGGATTTTACACTTTCATGGATTTCCACAAAGTATTTAATTTTTTTTTTTTTAATAACTAGGAATGATCATATTGTGGTATTTTATTTTGGTTCGTTGGTTTGTTTATTGGGAGGGGGGAAAAGCATAAATGGTATGGAAGCAGGTCTATTAACTATTGAATATAACATTACCGAATTCATAACGGACAAGATAACTTTTTTTCCCTTGAAGTAATTTAGGGCAACTACACTTCATCCAGTGCAATGGCAGATGGAAGTGGGAGGGAGTTCATGCTCTCTGACCCTGCTCTGAGAGATGGCTGCGTGAACCTTACCTGCCCGCCCTTCAACAGAAAGGAACAAATTTGTAACAGCATGAGGGATCCACCCAAGAAGAATCCTTTGAGTCACTAGCAGCACTGCATTGCCTTGTTACTTCAACTTGCTCATTATGAGACCTTTTGCCCAGTTCTTCCAGAATGCAAAAAGCATTTCTGTCTGGCCTGCTTGTAACTGCTTAAAATAAATTCTTCAATGAGCATCAAATTATCCATGGTATTTTCTATCCAGTGCAATGAATGCATTTACTTAACCTGGATAACATGTGGTTTCATGTAATCCCCAGATGATAATTTGACTGAAATATTCTAGGGAGTCATTATGAGTGTCTTATGCAGAGAATCAGAGAGGGAAATAATTGTGTGCACTTGACAGAATGAAATGCTTGTAAAAACCAGTGATTCTATCTGGTACCCTTGAATACAAGAGAGATCCTGTTTACTTCTTCTAAATGGAAAAGAAATCTCAATGAAAAATCTTGTCTTGGTGTTAATTTAGTTTAGTTGCTTAAAGGCTGGGTACCTACACTGCCCACTTAATATCTTCTCTGCAAAAATACTGTAAATTCTGCAGAAACAGCTAGTATCTTGGCACAATGCCCTATAAAATGCTTGTCTCCCAGTTTCACTTGGTTAATAGATATTTTATTTGTGCCTAAGCACCTAGACAATAACAGTTTTACTCTCAACTTCACCTATATAATTCATGCTGACAATTCTCCTTTCTTTCACTTATATATTGGTTTCGTTTATTCTGTCAATCTTTATTAACTACAGGAAGAAGCACTTATTATTATTGGCATTTAAGCCATTAGAGTTTACTTGGCAAAATTTTATCACTTGCTCTTTTAGAATTTGCAAATATTGGATGCCCTGTTCTCTACAAACATTTCACGTTTTCTGTCTCTCATAACATGTAATTATGTATAAAGTGGGTTCTGTGGTGGCACAAAGAAGCTTTGTGGATATACTTACCACCACCGTAAGACAGTTTCTTTGTAGATTAACAATGGTTAGAGTGCACAGGAGTTCAGAGTTCATAGATCTAATGCCTGTAAGTGGCTTTCAGATAGAAGTTTAAGTGCTAGCTACTGACATTTTTATAATGAGTCTGCGGCTCTGAAAAACAAAGCAAATAATGATTAACCACACTGTATCAGAGAAGAAAGAGAATTCCTTCTGAGGGAAGAATGTTATTGTGGAAGTGAAAAAGAAAAAAAGTTAAATGTTTAACAATATTCCTAGTTGAATGACTATTTCTGGAGGCCTGCAATCTGGGGTGTAAAAAAAGGCTGTTATAAATATTACAATCTATAATATCAAAAAATATATAGAAGGGAAACACTTCTATCCTGTTGTGTGGCAATTAGACATATCTCTCCAATGCACTCAGAAATCATTCTTCTTCTTCACTACTTTCTCCGCTTATTCTTATTTTCTGGTATCCTGATAATGCTCTGGAGTTTTCCCCTTTAGTCTTTCAAGAACACATAGAAACTTATGTTTGTAAACAATCCAAAACAAATAACTCTCACAATCCTTTTTATGATATGAAAATATTGTATTGTATTGGTATTTTGTCTAAGAGGCAAAATTTTGCTAGGTAGACAAAAATCCCCATGGTTTTTAGGGAAAAAAATTCAGAAGGGATAGATTAGGGACTCTTTTCCTATCCCCTGATTTGTTTGTTTTCCGATTTAAAGCTACCTAAACTGAGATTGCTTTGAATTTGATTCCTAATAGTGTTGGTGGCAATAATTTTTACGATCGTGACACTGTTCAGAATCCCAGGCACATTATGACCCTATGGTGTTTGTCAGTGCAGAAATAAAGAGCAGATAAATGTTCTCTATAGCACTTGCAGGGTCCCTACTTTACAGCCTATTACCTATAACAGAAAAATGGAAATACAGGTTAACAGAGAAGCAGAGAAAACAGTGATCTGGTCTTGTCCTTGGCACACTTGGAGTTTAGCAACTATTGGTTTTTTTATATGTATTGCAGTTATAGAGAGTATTAAAGATAGAAAACAAAACAGAATTGTTTTGGAGGCTTACGGGGATTATGGAAGAAAGCTCAAACAAGAAAAATGATTGTGGGTCCCACAAAATAAATGAGTAGTAACGACAAGAGGTGACATTACAAAAAGTGGAAACAAGTACCCTTTCTTCAATGCAGCAGAGAAGTTGTGAAGAATTTTCACCAGATGTGCAGTTTAAACTGATGGCTGTAAGAATGTTTTTGATAGCTGCTTCATGGATGGCTGTGCTCATAGTAAGATTGCATGCATCAGTGACAGAGAAATCAAGTCAAAAATATGGAACAGAGTTTGACATGTTTAGTAGCCCAAAAGGATAGGAAAAAACTTCCAGAGTTTAGCTGTAATGAGGACATGAGGACTACAAAAAGGTCTTAATGTAAATTTTTGTTTAGCTTATGATCTTCCATGACAGTCCCTAAAATGACATTATTTTCACTGAATAATAATATTATAATAATTAGGTCTAGCCTTATTTTCTGTAGAAATTTTTTTTCTATATTTTGTAACATTTTCTGAAGTAAAAATATTGGAAATTTGTGCTGTTTCCTTCTGGTTGAATTACCAAGTTAATGAGCACAAGTGGTAGCTATGGCTTCCAAAAGTACTTTTCTGAGTATGTTTCGCTGCATGCACAAATGTTGTCATTAAAAAAATGGTAACTCAAATAGGAATGCTGTGAGATATTGAAAAGGGTTGATATGAAGTTCATATGGCTCACTCAAGACTTCATGTGGTATAATCTGTAATGGTAATAGATTCTCTTCCACTGTGTTTTTGGTGTCACAGCTGAAGCATTTTGTTCTCATAGTCAGAAAAATATGCATGTCCAAGTTGAGCCTTGCCAGTTCAGTAGGAAGAAATAACGCAGAAAGTATTGAAGATTAGATTTGTGTCATTTTTTCTGTTATATATTGAGCTTCTCCTTGAAGAAAAGTGGTTATTCTGGGGTGGCATTGATAAAGAGAGATAAACAGCTTTCTCTTTGCAAGATGTGCCTCAGATGTATTCCCCATGGTTACTACCAGTGCCTGGCAATTGCTTTGTGCTGGCAGGTTCTTCATTCTCGATTTCCACTGTTAGACAGATGTGCAACATACATCTACACAAATGTTTTACCAAAGGCTCTATGCAATATAATGTATTCAATCTACAAAGTGGTATTCAAATAGATATTAGGTCTGGTGTGCTAATGTTTTGCTATTGTGCCCCTGTACACTGAAAGAATTGGCCTACATGTACAGAAGTTATGTTTATGTATCTTGAGTTTTGTTCCTGAAAAGGTAATGGGCTTAATTCTGTAAGGTAACAGTAGCTTTACTTTTGGCTGAAACAAAAATCAAAGCAACATACGAATGAAACATTCCAAAAAAAAGTGGAAATCCTAGGAGAAACCATCAAGAGAGTTTTAAGCAAAGTTCAAGATGTAAACAAAAATCTCAGCAGTTTCCAACAGTTTCCACAGAAGGTTGTGAGTTCAGAAATCAATGTATAGATTACACTGATCTTTATATGACAGTAATATTGATACCATTCTCCCTGTTACATAAACATTGCAGAAGATTTTAATGAAGTCAGCAACATTTTTCTACTGCTTTTCTTAGCTGGTAAATCCTTTTTAACAAAATAAGCAATTAATCTAAACCAGCATCATCTAGAAGACCTCAGGAAGGACAAACATTTATTTTGATCAAAGAATTGCTAACAAGGATATTTATAAAAACTAATAATGAAACAGAGTATCTTAATTACTCTGTGGAAAATTCAGATGAACATACCATATTCACTAGGGAAAAAGAGTGTGCTGGTAACTTGTCATTATAACAGGCAGATAAATATAGAACAATTATGAATATGGCTCACTTTATTTGTATCCCCACTTCTGCATCTTAACTGTTACAACCAATTTATAAAATTTCAAACTTTAAATTCTATTTATCGCAATTAAATTACTGCTCTCTACCATGGCTTGGGCCTTTTATACACATAATGTGCCCATATAGATCATGAGCAAGGGATAGACTATTGGGATCATCTATCAGGAATATCTGGGTTATACAGGAAATGGGAAAGTAGATTAATCTGTCCTAATTCAGGCATTTAAAGAATTCACTCTGTGGTTCATGGAGAAAAATAAGGGTATAGAGCCAATGATTAATTTCTTCCTAAGCCTGAAACAGATCAAATTTACCATTCTCTAGTGAAACTTATTTCTTTCCATTGATTTTCACAGGAGTCCAGGATGCCTGGCTGCTCCTTAAACACCTAGTCTGAGGTGAGGGAAGCTCATACCTTGAGACTCTTTCTTACTCAAGCAAATTACCTTAGCAGTGAAGTTATCTTTCCATTTCAGCTCTGAAATTGGAATTAGCTCTAATCCCTAGACTCATCATTATTTAAAGTGTTTCTTAGAAATCTCAAGAAGCTACAAATTATCAGAGTGGAACAAGAGAATTGAAATGAGGACTAGGAAGGGAGAGCTGTAAAACAAGTCAGGACTCAGTTAAAGTGTTGATGTGTGGACAACCATATGCGTAAAAAACTCTTTTCATGATTGGGTTCATAGGACAGTGGTTAATGGCTGATTATCTAGCTGGAGTTTGGTAACAAGTGGAGGATCTCAAGTGTCCACTGTAGTCTTTATCACTGACCTGGAAGAAACATCAGTGTGCACTTTTATTAGGTCTGTAGATGACACCAAACTGTGGAGGATCAATTAAGATGCTCAAGTGCAGGGGCACTCTCCAAGGGACCTAGACAGGCTGGAGAAATGGACTAACAGGAATCTTATGAAATTCATAGAGGACACATACAAATTCCTGCACCTGGGAGGAAGATGGTACAGGCTAAGGACAGAGAGCTGGGGAGCAGCTCTGTGGAAAGGGAACTTAGGAGTCTGCTGGACAGTGAGGCGAGCATGAGCCAGCAGTGCCCTGGCACAAAAGCCTCTTGGACTGCATTAATGGGATCAAAAGCAGAACATAAAAAAGGAGGGTTTAGCCCCTCTGCTTAGCTCTCATCAGTTTTAGTACCCCCAGCACAAGTCATCAATATCTGGAGTCAGTTCAGCTCATGGCCACTGTGATGACTCAGGGCTAGAGCACTTGCCCTGTGAAGAGAGGCTAAGGGAGAGGTGTTCTCTGCCCTGAAAAACAGATGACTTTGAGG